TTCTAGGTTGTCAGTTATTTTTTTCCTTTTTTTTGTCTTTTTTCGTGACCGGCAATGGATCGCAACCCTCAGTGTTGCGCCCGTACCGGACCGAGACCGGCAACGGGATCGCAACCCTCGGTGTTGTGCCCACACCTCGCTCAGCCAGTGAGTGGCCGGTCTGTATGTGGGATCCGAACCCTCGGCGGGAGTGCCGCCACACTCGCGGTGCACTGTAGCATTGCGCCACCGGGCCGGCCCGAATTTCTAGAAGTTTTCTTGTGGTTCTATTTTTGTCATATATTTAAACTTAAACTGGACTATTATCAGTGCTTCTGGCCTATACTTATTTTAATTGGTTAAGGTTCACTTATGGATAATCATATAATTGACTTTAAAAATAATCCTTGAGGAAAACAATAAACATGAGTATCTATAAGAGATGTGAAATTATGCACATCTTAAATTGTTTTTTTATTTTTATTTTTGAATTACTTCTTCATTGCCATTAGATTTTTATCCTACTAAATCTATTTACTTCTGAAAACCGAATTTCTACTTTTCAGCAGGGGAATTAATCAGGAAATCTAGTTATCCATATTATCAGAGTATGTACCCATCTTCTCTGAGACTCATCCGCACTCAGTAATTAGGTTTCTCAAAGTCTTTTGCCACTAACTATTTCTTTCTATTAAGGGTTTTCTTTGTTAACAACTGCAGCTGGGTTTTGCATTTAACTTCATCTGAGGGGCTCTTCCTAATAATGGAAGAATTGTCTGTTCATATTTAATGCGACCTTTTCCTCTTCATTTGACTTTATGCTTCTTATCACCTGCCACTAGTGATGCCCCTTTCTTCCTCTGGTTGTGCTGAGGTATGTACTTACCCTGCAGCTCATTATATAGCTATAAACAGTCTATTATGCCTAAAGGACAAAAGTGACAGCTAGAATTGTGGACAAAAGAGAACAGAGACTAGAGAGGACTGTTTATTTTAAACTTCCTTCTCAGGAAATTATCCATGTCTCCAATTCAATAGCCATACTCTTGGCTAGAGCAGTATTTGCAAATATGGTGTCATGCACTGTTATTATACCATATGTGGTATATATTTACTTATATATAAAAGATAAAAACCTACCTATTAACATTTTATAAAATATAAAAACTATATGTTAAAAATAGATGATAAAAACAAATAAGAATGAAAATTCTACTACTGTTTTCTTGCCCTTCAGTTTATCAATTTTCCACCCTTAGATGGTGCTTATAGTCCACCAAACTGCATTAATAATTTATGAAAGTGTGGAAACTAGAACATCTTTCTGTACTTTTAGCATCACCAGACAATGATATAAATAGGACCTGGTTGAACACTTTTCCTTAAAATAATGATGAATAATGTTGGAGGCAGGGCTGAGGCAGGATACGGCAGGACAGCATAACCCTGCCCCACTGTTTTAGCATCACCAGACAATGATATAAATAGGACCTGGTTGAACACTTTTCCTTAAAATAATGGTGAATAATGTTGGAGGCAGGGCTGAGGCAGGATACGGCAGGACAGCATAACCCTGCCCCACTGTGCTATCGGATGTTGCACGGGACTTTAATCCTCTGCATTTAGATTCCAGCTTTGCTTACACTACTTGAAGATCATGGGTTTGGCAATGTTATGTCAAGGCATTTTAGATAGGACAGTAGTCCTCAACTGTAGGTAATATTTGACAAGTATTTCTTTTCTGTTTATTTATTAAAAATAAACACATGTTGACTGAAGACAACTGAAACAATAAAAATAAAGAGGGAAAAATCAGCCATAACCATGATTAACATTTTGTGTTGTAATCTTTTCAGTTTTTTATCATCATGAAATACCTATATATTTATGTTTTCAAAAATGGTACATTACTACACATAAGTTTTTATCATCTGGTCTTTCTCATGATAATAGTTCATGAGCCTCTTTGATCTTATAATCTCTGTTAATGATGCATATTATCTTGGTGTATGACTATTTTGTGATTTCTCTAACCAATCTCCTGTTGTTCGAAGTTTAATTGTTTTCAACTCTTTGCTGTTATGAACAGTCAAGTAAAAAGCATTCTTGAACAAACATCTTTTTATAGTTGCTTGAATATTTCCTTATGATATTGATCCAAAAATATAATTCACAGCTCAAAAGGCAAAAAAAAAATTCTCAATATAAATTTACACTGTGATACTATGATTTCACATCCTCAACAGCTTATCCAAGAAATGCCAGTTTTTCATAGTTTTTCCAATAATACACCATGTTTAAATCTTTGCCAATCATGTAAACAAAAATGGTATTTTGCTTTTGTTTTTAAGTTTGTAGTTTTTAATATTTCCTGGAGTTACATTTTTTAAAAAATATTTTCTTAATTTAGTGTGCATGGACTATTCAGATAGGGAGTATGTAAGTATATATCCTACATAAATGGTTTTAAATTGAGTAATAATTAGAGGAAACATCATTCTCCTTAGATTGTTTTCCTCTGTTTTTATTACATAAGTAACCAGAGCAAATGTATCAAGAAGAAAATTAGGTAGTATTTATATTGGCTACAATGAGAGTAACAAATAATTAACTAAAAACTATATTGTTGTGGGTTGAATTGTTTCTCTCTCAAAATTCAAATGTTGAGGTTCTTAGTGGAATAAGGGGATTCCTAATCCAATATGATTGTGTCCCTTTAAAAACGGAAAATTTGGACACAGATAGACACTCACACTGGGAGAACCCCAGGTGAATACAAAGGCAGAGATCAGGGTGATGCTGGTACACGCCATGGAAGAGCAAAGATTACCAGCAACCACTGGGAACTAGGGGACAGACACAGGACAGATCTTCCCTCACAGCTCACACAACCCTGATAACTCAAACTTCCAGCCTCCACAACTGTGAGGCAACACATTTCTATTGTTTAAGCCATGGTTTGTGGTACTTTGTTACGGCAGCCCTAGGAAACTAACACAGTTTGTTTGACACATGATTTCAAAGATGACAGAGGACCACACCTTCACAACGAGGAACTGTAGAGCTCCAGACCACATTTCCATCCTGCAGGATGCAGGTGATGGACTCAGACCCCTGGGTTTTGACAAAGCCATCATCACAGTGGAAAGAAACTGAGCTCCCAAGTAGAAACCTGTCACCAAAACGACGTCCGTTTATAGGAATACCAGGATCATGGCACTCATTTTGACCAAATGCTGAAAAGGAAAAGAAAGAAAAAATAATTATAATGAAAATACTTGAATATCAATTACATGCTTTAAAAAAGAAGGGAACAGAACATACTTATAAAGCAGTTACTGTCCCAAATTTGTTATATCATTCATAGGTAGGTGAATACATCAAATAAATAGAATATTAATAGCTAGTGATAGACAGCGAGTAGATGAGTCTATCATCTGTACAGCATTTTACAGTTTGAAAAGCACCTGTCATATGATCTTAGAAAAAGAGAGAAGGGATACAGCTGATAGTAAAAGTATGTAGGTTCAGGATATATCTGGTTAGAATCCTGACTTTTATGTTTATCAGCTGACATTGAGCGGATGACTCTGATGATGTAAGCCTAGCTATCTTTACTTACAACATGAGCAATATTAAGCCTATATCCCAGAGTAACTGTAATACTAAATGAGGTGATTACTGGAAAATTCTAAGTAAGCTCCTAAGAGAAGTAGACAGTATGTGATAACTTAGTGTTACTCATATTAACATTACTAACTCACTTTATTCCCCCTACAATGTATTTAAATATATGTTTTTGTATATAATCTATTTTGCAAATGAAGAACCTGAAGCAAAGAGAAGTTAGTTGTTATCAAAATTCACTAAGTATATCTCACTTTATTCCCCCTACAATGTATTTAAATATATGTTTTTGTATATAATCTGTTTTGCAAATGAAGAACCTGAAGCAAAGAGAAGTTAGTTGTTATCAAAATTCACTAAGTATATGCAAGTGCTGGTAATCTAATCGTTTGCTCCTGACCTCAAGTGCCTCAGTTCTTTCTGCTACACTATTTTGTTGCATGGAGGATGCATAGCAGGGTGGGTGGATAGATGGAAGGAAGGATGAATGGATGGATGGTTGGGCGAATGGATAAATGGATGGATGGATGGATGGACAAATGGATAAATGGATAAATGGATGGATGGATGGATGGACACATGGATAGATGGATGGAAGAAGGATGAATGTTTATAAAGATTAAAGGATAGGAGGATGAATAGATAGTTAAATGGATGGATAGATGATGGACAGATGGATGGATGGATGCATGGATGGATGGATGGAAAACCAGAAAGAAAGAGATGTGAGAGATCCAGCCTCTTACTGTAGGGGTGACCAAGACACTAATCTAAATACAGTGTTGTATGTTTGTTTTATTTTAGGTTATATATAATAATTTTGCTACTCTCAATTTAATGATTATAAAACCTCTGAAGTATCTGCCTTGAAACTCGACTTCATATAAAGGTAAACAAAATGAGGAACTTGAAAGTGGTGCTTGTATAGGTGTACTTANCAAATGGATAAATGGATAAATGGATGGATGGATGGATGGACACATGGATAGATGGATGGAAGAAGGATGAATGTTTATAAAGATTAAAGGATAGGAGGATGAATAGATAGTTAAATGGACGGATAGATGATGGACAGATGGATGGATGGATGCATGGATGGATGGATGGAAAACCAGAAAGAAAGAGATGTGAGAGATCCAGCCTCTTACTGTAGGGGTGACCAAGACACTAATCTAAATACAGTGTTGTATGTTTGTTTTATTTTAGGTTATATATAATAATTTTGCTACTCTCAATTTAATGATTATAAAACCTCTGAAGTATCTGCCTTGAAACTCGACTTCATATAAAGGTAAACAAAATGAGGAACTTGAAAGTGGTGCTTGTATAGGTGTACTTACTGGTGTAGGTGATGTTGAACCCTCTGCCGGTGGTGGAGTGATCAGACTGAAATTCCAAGCGAACTATGTGCCCACTACTGGCTAGCTGGGAAGGCACTTCATTGCCAGAAAAAGTGCCAAGGACGGTTATATCAGAAATCCCATCATCTTTGACCGCAAGGAAGTCAAATTGTGGCTCCACATCAAAATCATTAAAGATGAGGTGAATTCTACTTCCTGGCTCAGATATAATCAACCAAACACAGTTCATGTTGTTACCATATTCCTCTGGATAATTCGGTGAGAGAATAATCCCAGAAGATGCCGTAAAGTTGAAGAAACATGAAACTGTGAAGACACAAATATATTTTCAAGCAGTTTTGCGTATATCCAAAGAACTACCACACAAAGCTGATTTCTAAGCACTTGGAAAGGCAATTCACACCTGCAAATAGCTATGATAGTCCAATTATTTTTAAATTGGTAATTCTGAACCATAATGATTTTTCTTTCCCCAAATTATAAATAGAACTATTTATTACCTTAAATAGCATAACCAGAAACTATACATAATCAAGCGTAGGCTTGGTTCAAAGATGATACTTTCAAGTTGGCTGAAAATGTGGGCTAAATATTATAATTTCTTGTTATAACTTTCTGCCTTCAGAAGAGCAAATATTAATATGAAAATGTCTATGCCATAGGTTCTGCTCTTCTGCGATAACTTTTCACCTTATATTTTCTTTTAAAGTGCATTTTTAAAGTTATTTATATTTTTTATTACTTACATTGTAAAGATTAATAAAGAAATAACTTGGAAAAATCATATCATGTTCTCATTGGATAATATAAAAATACTTTGGAAAACTTACTTTTAAGAATGTGTACTTAAAAATTATATATGTGTGTGTGTTTTCTTTTTTAGAGGGAACAACTGTTGAATTTATCTTAGGGTGCAGTTTTTGCTCTCATTCCACATAATTTCTAGCTTTTGCTGTATTTACTTACAAATAAAAATGTCTCCTTTTTATATTGGCTATGAAACCTTTTTTAGTTGTTACAATATTATACTTATGAGGAAGCATACAATTCTTCAGCTGAATTTGAAACCCAAGCTACAGCCCTAGCTTTTGCTGTATTTACTTACAAATAAAAATGTCTCCTTTTTATATTGGCTATGAAACCTTTTTTAGTTGTTACGATATTATACTTATGAGGAAGCATACAATTCTTCAGCTGAATTTGAAACCCAAGCTACAGCCCAAGCTCACACTGGGGAACAACTTGTGTTTAAGTGTTATACAACATGATTAAGTCATAAAAAGACTCCTTTGCCGTCCTGATGTCTGATATAGTACATCATCATAAGCTTTTGATGGAAACAATGGTATATGTTCCATCCTTTCTAGCAGAAAACGTTCTACTACATTTTATCTAGTAAACAGATGTAATAAAATCATGTATTAGTTTTAATTAGGTGAAGAAAGCAGGCAAGTTGGTGTCTGAGAACGCCCTTGCATGTTTCTGGTGAACGAAGCACTCCAGAGCTACTCCAAAAGCTGCCCTCCCTAAGCAGATGCTCTGTCTCTGTCTCTCTGTCTCTCCGTCTCCCCTCGCTCAGCAGGTGCAGGACAGGACGGGGTCCTCGTCGAGGCAGGCACTCACATACGCAGCTGGGCTTGTTGCCAGACCACTGATTGTTCTGCTGACAGGTGATAACTCTCTCGCCCACCAACTCAAAGGCTGCCTGGCATTCAAAGGTGAGCGTATCTCCATGGAGAAAACTGCTGCCAGTCCGCTTCCCATAGGCAGGAATGCCAGGGTCCCCACATCCTCCCTTTTCAATTTCTGAAAATGGGAAAAACAAATAAACCATTAAAAAATCAGATAATGAACATTTTTAACACCAATATTTAGAAGAAAATGACCAGTGGTTTCTTATTGCTGGTCTAAACATTGTTTCTGTAAACAGTTCCAAAAGGATACTCAATTTGTCTGACATTTAATTACAAAAGCCAGGGAGAAAATGTAAACTCGAGGGAAAGGTATTTAATGTATTGTCTTTTCAAGGATACACATGGCTACACAGATAAAGCTGAGGCTGCACATGTTGCAATTAATAGGTGCCTCTCCCTGGTACTTCCAGTTTTCCATCCCCACCTGCTACTAATAAAATGTAAACACCAGTTTTGTCTTAATCTATGTGCTGTTTTCTATAAACAATACCAATTAGATTGTTTATTCCCTACTGAATATTTAAATCAATATGATCTATTTGAATAATTATTAAAACTCAGCTATGAAACAAAATGGATATATTCATAGTTTTCAGATGAACAGAAAACGTGTAGAATCGAACATCTTTTTATTAAAACAACATTATAATGAAATATGGATAAATATGCCAAACCTATAAGTACATTTCAAATTTTGCTTTCTCAAATGTTTACTGTGCAGAATGTATTAACTAAAATATGTTATTTATTTAACCATTAAAAAAATATTTTTTGAGAGCCGACTGTGTGCCACATACTTTTCTAGGGGTTAGCGGGTAAACAAGAAAAAATTCTTGCACCCATAGGTCTTACATTATATGAAGGGAAATTTTTAAAAATATATTAAAAAATAAATGTGATTCATGTAATGATGGGTAATTTGAAGCAACATAAAGGAATACAAAGAGGAACAGAGAGATGGATGGAGGAAACAGACAGTGTAAATGCCCAGAAGGAAGACTGAAATCAGCCCTTCTGAGAGAGACAAGCCTAGGGTGGCCTGCAGGGCAGTAGACAGCAGCAGAGGTGGTGTGGAGAAGAGGGCGGGCCCGCCTGTGCAGGGTGTCGGGCTTCCTGCTTGCGAAAAAGCCTTGCGGGGATGAGACCTGATGTCATCTGAGCACAGGCTGAAAAGAGCAATCCACGGTGCTGGTGGAGTGGAGGCAGGAGAGGGACAAGCTCCGAGAGATATAATATGTTTTCCATGAATATATCTGAAAAATACATTCCTTTTCCTTCTGAAATTCTTCACGGGCTCTCACTTTGTTATCTTGCACAGGCCAAGAACAAATTCAAATTTATGTTTTATTAGCAACCTGACTACTTTCCAATCAAACTCTCATTTTTTGGAATGTTGTATATCTGAAAAATACATTCCTTTTCCTTCTGAAATTCTTCACGGGCTCTCACTTTGTTATCTTGCACAGGCCAAGAACAAATTCGAATTTATGTTTTATTAGCAACCTGACTACTTTCCAATCAAACTCTCATTTTTTGGAATGTTGTAGAAGCAACTCAGGACTGGGTATTCAGGACTGAATTTCTGGGAACCGTGTAGGGAAGAAACATACTCAGAGATTGCTCCAGAGATGGTATATGTCACTTAATAGGAGAAACTTCACTTCCAAGTGTTTGGAAATATCAAAGAAGTAAAATCAGCTTATAATATTGCAGTGGAATCAAGACTCGACACAGGATATCACTGCTTTATGTTTTCTTAAGCACAATAGCACAAAAAATATGCCGGTATTTGGTTGAGTTTCAGTGTGCTCTGCTAATGTCATGCCTGAGGCTATCAAACAGAGGATTCTCACAGCATCAGCTCTGTGGAAGCAAGAAATGTTCCTGATGCAACACAGCCAAAGACAGCTGTGGAGAACACCTTTTATTAAGGACAGACCTTGGAGTTGAAGTTGTTGAACTTTAGTTGAGCAGAGCTGGGAGTGGATTTACCAAATTTAACACTTGAGATGAAACTGAGCATCTGCCACTGAAATAGACAAAGTAAATTCAGAGCCCTGCGTGGTTCATAGCAGCAAAGAGCTCTTGTTTAGTGTGGGCGCTTGGGCAAGAGGCAGGTGCCAGGTGTGGTTTTGAATCCCCCAGTCTTCACTGGGCCACTGTGATGAGTTCAGTCTCATAAAGCCTCAGTTTTCACATCATCAGCTTACTGCTTCCTACCTCAACGGGTGGCTGTGAGAATTAAACAAAACAATTCATGCAAGTAGCAGGCATATTGTACTGGAAATACTAGCCACTGCTACGACGATTAGCAAACCTTAGAAGTTTCTTTCTGCATATGTGATGCTAAAGTTCATAATTTCTTCTTATAGTGAAATAAATTATGGCATTGTTGGATATTACTATTTCCTATGAGGCAGGGAATTCGTAACTTTGCATAGTTTTCAGAAATAAAGTGATTACAGTCATACACGTGGTGCGGATGCAGGCAAAGGTCTTTCTGCTTCTCATGCTGAGGTTCAAAAGAGTGCTGTGGTCACTGGATTCCACCAAAGATACTGATATTTATTTAGCCAAATGCAAGGCTACTGCTGTACTCTGGCAGAACCTGTGTCTGACACATCCTTTATGAGGTGTGAGCCACAGACTAGTGACTACCGAAGTGATATGTACCAAAATCAGTAGTTTTGTGTATTTCACACAGTTTTATTTTTAGTCATGGAAGAAATATGAACATATTCTATGGTTATGTCAGTGAAGCTTCATCTGGGAGAGCTTTTTTGAGAAATTTTGCATTCTTGACCTCCTACACACTAAATGTCCTCATTGCCCCAAATTACTGAGACAAAATCCATACAGATTTTGAAATTTCACTTGAGGGTCATATCACCTTCAACTGGGAATTGCTGCCTCCACTTCACCTATTTTCTGAACAAGTAACACATGTGCCAGATGAATCAGATCGTTTTCACACTGATACAGCAAGCGCATCAAACCTCCTTCCACATATAATGAAATGCAAGATGTCAGAAACGGCCTTGACATGTTTTCTTTGAAATGAACACTATAATTTGTTATTAATTAAAAGACTTAGGCCCCTAGAGGAAAAAAAATACCTCTTTCATACTATCAAACTATAAATGATATTTGATAAGAAGGGGCCTAAGAAAAATATTAGGTTTAAATTATTTCCTCACTACTTCTCTGATATTGCTTTTTCAGCTGCTGCGAATATTTGTGCAAAAGTCCACTCAGGGCTCAATGATGATGCTATTGCTGTGTTTTGTCTTTGATGATCACCTTTAAAAGTACCAAAAATACTATTTCATTTTCAACTTTTTATGTTTACTTTTTTTTGAATGATAATTTAATAGTTTGTCTATATACATTCATATCAGAACGATACATGTTTAACATTCACCTCTAGTATACTTCATTTTCAATTGATATTTCATGCTATGACTATATTTTTTATAATAAATCAATAATTGGATTTACTGTTTTTTCATTTAATGTTTCTGAGCACTTTTTACTGACATATCACTATTTGATAACATGAAAATGAAAATAATGCTTTCACAATTGAGTCTGACATGGAAATTTTTACTTCTTGCATCCTCTCATGGTCATTCTGGAGAAAATAAAATGTTTGCATATGTGGGATATCACTATCGGACTAAATACTAGAAAACATATTACAGGAACCGTGTAAATAGACAACCATAGAGAACTTATCAGGCAAATTTCTGAGAAATGTTATTAAAAATATTAACATGAACCATATAAGCTTACCAATTATTTGACAGTTTTTGATCTACAAAAGGCAATTTCATTCAAGTTAACCCAAGCCTCCTGATCCACACCACCATAGTTGCTCTCATGGTACTTGCTACATGGTGTGGCACATGGTGTCCCTGTAAGGCTGCTCACTAATTAAGAACTATTATTATTCATTTTCCCATATATCTTTGCAGCTGCCTTGAGCCCTGTACTTAGTAGATGGCCAGGTGAATGAATGACTGTTTTAGTAATACCTAAGTTTCCTTGGATTTCTTTGCATAGCCAAATATCTTGGCTTCAGATCCCTTATCAGACTCTGTTTATCCACATGATTTTCAACTTACTGGGGTCTCTCTGTTTTTGACTCTCACTTCTTTATCTTCTCCTTGACTTTCTAGGGAGTGGCCCAGCCTTCTCCAGCCCATTGCTTACAGCACAATGGCAGGGAGGACTACCTATCAAGTGCCTCTTCGTATCTAAGATACCATTCAAAGCATCAGCATGCATTTTTCACCCTTCTCCCATCTGCAGCCTCCATTTCTGCCACAACGTCCAGGAGACTCCCATTCAGAAGTAACGTGGACACCCCAAGATTTTTCTCTCACTCCACTATTTTCACCTGAGTTACCACTTCCTTCCCTTTATATGACATCTCTCTTTGCTAAAGTCTCTATGAATCCCCAGAGTCCAAACTTTTCCCCCCTTCTCTGGGATTTATAGGTAGCTCTCTTACAGAGCTGGATTACAGAACTAATCAAGACTGGATTGGTTTTAATTGTTTTTACTCTCATTACATGGTAGAGTGGATGACTGGTATTGCTTAGTCATTTAAAGGGAACTTCTAAGGTATCTGACCAGGCTTAGCCACATAATTTCTAGTTAATACATTGTCTAGTTTTTTCTGTTTGTTTGTTTTTATTTTTTTACCCTACAAAGAGTTCCTGGCCCTGGCCTAATTTTTCAGTCTGTGACAAATATTTTTCAGCACCACTGATTTGTTCTAGCTGCTGTGCCTAAGTAACAGGTGGAAAGACCCTGCCCTCATGGAGCTTTCAGTTGAGAAAAGTCAGTAAAAAAAAAATAATAATAATAATAATAATATTAACTATGTCAGATGGTGATGAATGCATTGTAGAGAGCATGGGAAGAGGGAATGGAGAGTGTTGAGAGGTTCTAATTTAGATGAGATAGCCTGGGAAGGTCCCCGAAAAGTTGTAACATGCAAGCTTTGCATATTGAACTGGGAGAAGACACCATGTGTAAAAAGGGAGAACACTTTATGTGCAGCAAACCACAGCAAGTGCACAGGGTGAGAGAGGAACACACTTGAGAGGGTTGAGTAACAGCAAATAGGTCAAGTGTAGCCACTGTCCAGTGGGAGAGAGGGACGATGAGGACACGAGGACAACCAAAAGGTCAAGGACTAGACCAGGCATGGCCATGATAAAGATTTGGATTTTATTCTTTCATCATTCTTTATCGTAATCCATGCTGTAATTGCCATATGAACCAGATAAAACTATCGATTATTTCCTGATTTACAGTGCAACATCATAGCATAACAACGACTGAAGAGAAGATTCTTAAATGCCACCAGAAAATAAAGCATACCTGCTTTCTCTATGGATTTTAGCTGTTTCGCTGCCTGGAACTCCAGTTCTAAACAAGTTATCATGAAGATTTTAACTTCTATCAACTCATTTACTTGTGATTGGTAGGCAATGTGTTTTAGAGGAAAGGATATCAGACAGAGAATTTAGGCTCAAGTCACAGGTCTTTCATTTATTAACCATGGAAACTTGGGTGTATTATTCTCTCTGATCCTCTTCAAAATATTTGTAAAGAACCTCTTATTTACCAGAGTACTAGGACCAAGAATAATTTTTTTTTTATCTTCAAGAAGTCCATATCCTAGTAATTTAAATAGACTACTGAATGGCCATCACAAGGCTCGTGGTGAGATCTCACTGAAGATATTCTGAAATGATTACCAAGCCTAAAACAACCTCAACATAAGAATAACCAGCTAAAAGGACACTGTGCTCTGAACTTTTCCCTACTTTGTGTCCAGCCCAGAGTGCTTATCCTGCAGCTGATGCAAAGATAGTTTGCACTGGAGACGTAGCAGTCACGCTTCCACTGAGGCTAGGCTGTGTTTCAGTGAGCACCTCCGTCACGGGCAACACCCAGCGGAGACTCGCATCCTCAGATTCCAGGGCTGCCATACGTCCCTTGTTCATCAATGAGGCATTCTCCTTAGGACTTTCTACTTCTTTTCAATCTTAATTTCCATCCTCTTAGTCAACACTCAGCATTACTGGTCCC